TTAGTGATTTGGGTTTAGGTTTTAGGATTTAAGCTTTAGGATTTATGGTTTAGGATAGAGAATTTAGGGTTTAGGGTCTAGTGATTAGGGTTTAGGGTTTATGAGTTAGGGTTTAGGGTTTAGGGTTTAGGGTTAGGGTCTAGGGTTTAGGGTTTAAGGTATTTGGTGAAAGGGCTTAGTGTTTAAAATTTAGTGTTTAGAGTTTAAGGTTTAGGGTCTATGATTTAGGGTTTATGGGTTTAGAGTTTAGAGGTTAGGGTTTAGGATTTACGGTTTAGGGCTTAGTGTTTAGAGCTTACGTTTTAGGATTTAGAGTTTGGGATTTAGGGGTTTAGGATTTAGGATTTAAGGGTTAGGGTTTATGGTTTAGGATTTTGGGTTGAGGATACAGGGTTACAGTTTACGGTTTATGGTTTATGGTTTAGGTTTTAGGGTTTAAGGCTTAGGGTTTAGGGTTTAGGGTTTAAGGTTTGTTTAGGGTTTTGAGTTTAGGGTTTAGGGTTTAGATTTAGGGTTTAAGGTTTAAGGTTAGGGTTTATGGTTTGTGGTTTATCGTTTATGGTTTTGAGTTTAGGGTTTAGGGTTTAGATTTAGGGTGTAGGACTAATGGTTTAGGGCTACGGTTTAGGATTTAGGGATTAGATTTTATTGTTTAGGGTGTGGATTTACGGTTCAGGGTTTATGTTTATGGTTTAGTATTTAGAGTTGAGGATTTAGGGTTTAGGGTTAGAGTTAAGAATTTAGGGTTTAGGGTTTAGGTTTTAATATTTAGGATTTAGGATTTAGTGTTTAGGGTTTAAGGTTTAGGGTATAGTGTTTTGGGTTTAGGGTTTAGCATTTAGGGTTAGGGTTTAGGGTTTAGCATTTAGGGTTAGGGTTTAGGGTTTATGGTTTAGACTTTTGGAATTGTGGTTTAGGGTCAAGGGTTTTGGGTTTAGTGTTTAGGATTTAGGGTTTTTGATTTAGTGTTTAGGGTTTAGCATTTAGCATTTAAGGTTGAATGTTACAAATTAGGGTTCATACTTTACAATTTACGATTTAAGGTTTAGGGATTAGAGTTTAGGATTTAGGGTTTAGAATTTGGATTTAAGGCTTAGGGTCTAGGATTTACGTTTAGGATTTAGAGTTTAGGGGTTCAGTTTGGGGTTTGGGATTTAAGGTATAGGGTTTTGGGTTATGGTTTAGGGTTTAGAGTTTAGCGTTTAGGGTATAGGGTTTAGGGTTTAGGGTTTAGGATTTAGGGTTTGGGATTTAGGATTTAGTGTTTAGGGTTTAGGGGTATGGATTAGGTTTTAAAGTTTATGATTTATGGTTTAGGATTTGGGGATTATGGTTTAGGGTTTATGGTTTGGGTGTTAGGGTTTAGGGTTCACGGTTTAATGTTTAGGGTTTATGGTTAAAGGGTTTAGGGTTTGGGGTTTAGAGTTTAGGGTTTAGGGTTTAGGGTTTAGGGTCTAGGATTTAGGGTTTAGGGTTTTGGTTGTACGGTTTAGGGTTAAGGGTTTAGGGTTTAGGATTTAGGGTTTAGAGTTTAGGGTTTAGGGTTTAGCACTTAGGATTTATGATTTAGGTTTAGGGTTTAGGGTTTAGTATTTAGTGTTTAGGGTTTAGGGTTTAGGGTATAGGAATTTGGGTTTATGGTTTAGGGTTTAGAGTATAGGGTTGTAAGATTTAGGGTTTAAAATTTAGTGTTCAGAGTTTAGGACTTAGGGTTTAGGACTTAGGGTTATGGTTTAGGGTTTAGGGATTATGGATTAGGGTTTAGGGTTTATGGTTTAGGGTTTAGGGTTTAGGGATTATGGTTTAGGGTTTAGGATATAATGTTTAGGGTTAAAGTTTATGGTTTAGGGTTTTGAGTTTAGGGTTTATGGTTTAGATTTAGGGTTTAGGATTAATGGTTTAGGGTTTAGGGTTAGGGTTCGGGTTTAGGGTTTAGGGTTAGGATTAGGATTTAGTGTTTAGGGTTTAGGATTTAGGGTTTATGGTTTATGGTTTAGAATTTAGGGCTTAGGGTTTATGATTTAGGGATTAGGGTTTGGGTTTAGGGTTTGGGTTTAGGGTTAGGGTTTATGGTTTAGAGTTTAGGAATTAGAGTTTAGGGTTTAGGGTTTAGCATTTAGGTTTTAGGTTTTATGCTTTAGGATTTGGATTTACGACTTATAGTTTGGGGTTTAGGGTTTAGAGTTTACAGTCTAGGGTTTTGGGTTATTAGTTTAGGGTTTAGGATCTAGGGTATATGGGTTTAGGGTTTAGGGTTTAGAGGTTAGGGGTTAGGGTTTATGGATTATGGTTTAGGGTTTAGGATTTTGGGTTTTGGTTTTGGGTTTTTTTTTATTTTTTTTATTTGAACGACCCTTGGGGGGGTCAGGGTCTTAGAAACATCCCTAGGCCTTAGCATAAATAAAAGCTCAAAAGAGCTCAAAAAAGTACAAGGAGGGGGACATAAACCTAACCTCCGATCCTATGGCGGATCATATGTCGACCTACCTACTAAAGTTAGTCGACTCATTCCCATACTATAAAGGGGAAAACCTATAATTACGCACCTAAGGAGAGGACTCCTCTCAATACAAAGAATCTAGGAAAACATAATTAAGGGAGACTCTCCCCTTACAAAGGAAAGAATAAAAAGCAAGAACCTAATCAAAAACTATCCTTAACTCAAGGGGGGTTTTTAATTCGTTTTAACCTCTTCCTTCTGAAACTTTGAACTCCCATTTTCTCGAGAATATAGCTACCTCGTACTACATGTGGCAATTGGTTGTAAGTGTAGTAATGTTGGATGATGTCTTTTTTGTGACTTTGCTTGGTCAGGAAATCGGCAGTACTGTTGGCCTCTCTGTATATATGATCACATTGAATGAATTCACATTGGCTAACAATGTTTTGTAACTCCTGTACAAACTTTTGGATCCTCCAAGGGGGAGTAGAGGTGTGCAATATCCACCTAGTTAAAAGTTCAGAATCTACTACAAGAATAATATTGTTGTATCCATGTTGAATGCAACAGTTTAGACCATAACTGGCAGCTTGAATTTCTGCCTGATTATTGGTCCCTTCACCGAGAGGTAAAGCAAATGCTTAAATGATCTCTCCTTGTTCATCTCGTAGAATGCCTCCCCCTCCTATCTTCCCAGGATTGTGCAAAGCACTACCATCTGTGTTAAGCTTCTATCTGCTAGGAGGGGGTGTTTTCCAAATCACTGAAGTAACTTTAACATCATGTTTGCAGCTCTCGATCAGGTCCACTACTTCTGTCCACTGTGCAGGCCAATAAATGTAAGGAAAAACAGTGTTGAGAAGGTGGAGAATATCTTTGAGGATCATGTATTTGACCCTGCTGCTGCTGGATTTTTTTCCCCTGTATTTAGCTGAGCATCTATTCTTCCATAGTTCTAGCAGATCACTATGGGAAGAGTTTCGATGAGAATTTTGTGGGCTTCATTCTTTCCTTGAATATCATTCCATCTCAATAGATGATTACTCAATGAGGACTGTTGGAAAGTAACACTCATTTGACTTAAAAAGAATGTCCAGATATGAGCTGCAAAGGGTCCTTGATTGAAGATATGGTCCACTTCATCCCATCCTTTCTGCATGCAATAGAAACATCTCACTGGCTCCACTCCGAAGGTTACCAACTTTTTGTTAGTTGGTATTTTATATCTAAGTGCTCTCCAAACGAGAAAGGAAATCTTGAAGGGAATATTCTTATGACAAATCTGTGAATTGATCACTGCATTATTCTTCTTAAGTTTGCAAATTTCCCATGCTGAAGCACAAGAAAAAATTCCAGAATCGTTTGGCTTCCAGACTGCAGTGTTTTTCTCTCCTTGTTGGTATTGAAAATTAGTGCTCAAAATGTGAGGGATGAGTAGTGGTGGAAATTGTAGTCGTAGCTTTCTTTCATTGCATTCTCCATTGACTAGAAAGTGAGCAATAGTGGCATTATTGAGGCTCGAAATGTTGGTGGTGTAATTAGCAAGAGCACCTACTCCTAGCCAATCATTCCACCAAAAGGAGCAACTTCCAGACTTAATTTTCTAGGTGATATGATCCTCCACTTTGTTTTTATTCTTCATCATGTATCTCCACACTAAGGACTGACCAGTGTCCACCTTCTTTGCGACTGGATTGGCTCTCTAACAATATTTGGACTTGAGGAATTGACCCCATAGAGAAGATTTAGCCCTGAAATTCCACCATTGCTTATATTGAAGAGAAGTGCAAATATCTGTGAGTCTTATGAGCCCCACACCTCCTTCATCATAGGGCAGGCTCATGGTTTCAAGTGATGCCCAATGGTATTTCCTTTGATCCTGGTCTCTTCCCCAGAAAAAATCAGCAATAATAGACTATGTATTTAATAGTAGTGCTAGGAGGTGAAATTGCAGCCACAGTGTGAATAGGAATGGATTGCAATGCATGCTTGACAAGAGTGATTTTGCCTCCAAAGCTTATTATCCTTGCCTGCCATCCACAAATCTTCTTGGATACTTTCTCAACTAGCTGTGAATAATAAATGATCCTTTGTCTACCAATGTATAGAGGACAGCCAAGGTATGTGATTGGACCGTCCTTCTGTGAAAATCTTGTGACTTCCTGTATGTTGTTGATGATATCCTGGGAGGTTTTTGAGGGGACCATAAAATGGCTCTTCTGTTTGTTGATAAGCTGATCAGAAGTGTGTTCATAATCCTCCAAGGTGGCCATGATGAGTCTCATAGAGTCTTTGTCTGTTGAAGTAAAAATAATCACATCATATGCAAAACTTAGATGATTAATTTGGGGGCCTTTGGACTCCATGTTAAAGCCTCTATACATAAGATTCTGCTGGATATTGTTAAGCATTCTTGATAAAACCTCCGCACCTAAAATAAATAGGGTCGGAGAGATAGGATCACCTTGTTTGAGGCCTCTAGTTGAGTGGAAGAAACCATGTCTGTGGCCATTAATAATGATTGAGTACCAATTGTTACGCATGGTTTCTCCACACTAGGTCAATGAAGAACTCCCAAAACCAATCTCCTCAGTACCAAGCAAGTAAAGGACCAAGACACTCTGTCATAAGCTTTGGTCATGTCTAGTTTGATTACTACATTGTCTCCTTCTTTAGGCCTCTTAATGTCATGAGTGATTTCTTGTGCAAGCATGATACTTTCTGTGATGCTCCTCCCTCTTACAAACCCTGATTGAATGTCTGAGATGAGCAGAGGGATGATAACAGCCAGTCTCATGCTTAGAAGTTTGGATATGATCTTATTTGAGAAGTTGCTGAGACTAATAAGCTTGAGGTCAGAAAAATTGTTAGGCTGTTCCTTTTTGGGAAGCAAAACCAGGCATGCATGTGACATCAACTTAGGCATAATGTGACCACAAAAGAAGTACTGTACAACAGCTAGCCGGTCCTCTTTAATGATGTTCCAGCATGCTTGGTAGAATTTGCCACCTATACCATCCGGACTAGGTGCTGAATTTGGGTTCATGGCAAACATCACCTGCTTTAGTTCCTCTAAAGTAGGCATTTCTTGCAGTTTCTGGTTCTGATCCGGCGTAACTAGAGTAGGCAAATGTTGAAGAATTCTTTCATCTATTCTGCGATTCTGACCAGTAAACATTCCCTAGAAATAATCACATGTTGCTTGTGCAATCTGATCATCCCCTTGAATCCACACATCATTCCCTGTACAGATTTTATGTATAAAAAGTCTTCTTCTTCAACCCCTTATCAAAGCATGGAAGTATTTGGTGTTGGCATCCCCTTCCTTCACTTTAGCATATATATCTCCATACTCTTTCTTTGACCAGTTGCTAAGAGTGTATGTTAGCCTCTTCATTTTCTGATGAAGTTGCCACATAGGATTACCTGTCACTTCCCTCTCCCAACACTTTTGAACCATCTCCATAAAGTTAGCATTATCCACCCAACAATGAAGGAACTTAAAATACTTGATGTGGTTCTCATTTTTCCTAACCATTTCCATCAACAGAGGACTGTGGTCAGAGCCAACTGAGGATAGATGTTCAATAGTAGTTTGTGGCATGACTTCTAACCATTTGTCATTGACCATGGACCTGTCCAACCTCTTCCAAACTCTAGCCTGTGCAGTCCTTTGGTTGCACCAAGTGAAAGGTATACCTGTAAAGCCTAGATCAGTTAGGCCACAAACTTCAATCACATTGATGAACTCAAAACTCTTATTCATGTTGTAAGGTACTCCCCCAAGCTTCTCCTCTATATTAGTGATAACATTGAAATCTCCAATGGTACACCAAGGGATATCCAGGCTAGCATACTGCAGTACACTATCCCACAGAGGTCTTCTCATATGTTCCTTACACTTAGCATAAATGAAGGACACCATGAACCCCTCAGTAAGATCAAAATGCTTGAAGTCTCCTGTGATATGTTATTCACTATTTTCATGAATATTACCAGTGATCGCATTAGACCAAAAAAGCCAGATTTTTTCATTAGGATTACTAATTGCATGGTCCATTTGAAGATGAACTCTCACAGTGTTGAGTTGGGAATTGTCTGCAAAGGGCTCAAGTATAGCAATCATATCTAACTGGTGCATCTTCTTGAGTATTTGAAGTCTCTCCAAAGATCCTTGGGTATTGATACTCCTAGCATTCCAGCAAATGGCCTTAATCATCAAAAACCTTTCGATTTGGACCTTGTGATGGGTCTGCTAGAAGTAGCAGAAATATTGGTGATAGCCGGCTGTTTGGTGTGTCTGCTTTGCTTCCTACCTCTGGGGGACAGACCTTGCTGCTCAGTGAGTTCTTGAACTTCTTCTGACCAGTCAGTGTTAAAGGTGGAGCCAAAAGCTTGAATTAGAAGATTACTATTTTCCTCTTCCTCTTCATCATACTCATCTATGGATTGGTTGTTGGCTCCCGCTCATCCTCTGAATTCAAAGCTCCATAGTCATCTTGTATGGGTCTCCCCTTCTTAACATTATTTGCTATATGTTTCTTTAATTGTTGGCCTTTGTCTGTTAAATCCTGCTCTAGTTCACTACTTTTTCCCTGCCTCTTTTTCGTAGCATCTCTTTTCTTTTTGCTCAGCCTTTCTCCTGATTTATTGTTGGGTCTGTCTTTATGTTGTTCTGTTTCAGTATTCATCTCTTTCCTTTCCTGAATTGCATGTTGCGCAGCTTCCTTTTGATTTGAGATAGGGGTAGCAGGGGCTCTAGAGTCAGTCCTATGGTCATAGGTCTCAACCTCATGCAGAACATGAGTCAATTCCCTCCCCCCTTTGGATACCCCTTCCTGCAAGTTAGTGTGTGTCTCCTGTACCCTCCCTTCCATACCTCCAACAGCTTCCTCAGCAACATTACTATCAATATTATCGAGGGTGTTAGTAGGTGGGATTAAAGAGTCAATACCTGAGGTATTGTTGTTTTTAGTGGTTGCAGCCTGCTCTTTTTGCCTTGTTGTTTTATTGTGAGAATTTATTAAAGATGGATCCTTATCTGATCCTTGCATTGGATGACTTCCTTGACCTGTTGTCCTGTTGCTGTTACCCTCCTCCACAGTGTCTGTAGCTTGTAATTCCTGCATTTCAAGGTTAATATAGTTATTATGAGTAAGAATTGTAGGGAGTATACCTGATGGTTGTGTCTCCTGTTGCTTGTTGTCCTTGGCTCCTTTTTGTTGTGGTGAGACAGGTCTCATGCAGTCTTGGGATAGGATTGATCCTGATTTCTGTTCTGCTTCTTTCTTTGGATCTGCCAGTGTTCTTCTTGATCACCTACCTCCTGCTCTTGGTGAATCTGGACATGGGTAGTTTGAGTTTGTTGTTGAACTTGAGGGTGGGTTTTTCCTTGAATTTGTCTTAGAGTTTCATCAAGTCTGCATCTCTTCTTTGGTCAGATTGTTGTTGAGCCTGTGCACTTGTATTATTCTCTGGTTTACCATTGTCTTGCACCTGAGTTTTAGTGCCTCCTTTCTCTTGCTCACCCTTAGTCTTGTTCTTTTTTCAGCCTCCATTTCTTTCCTCCTTTGGAACTCCTCATCTCTTCTCTTGATCGTACAAACATTATCCACATGCCCTTGGTGTGTATAGTAATGACAATAGTCAGGAATTCCTTCATATTGAATTTTTTGCCACCTCCCTTTGTTGGGATCAGAATTCTTGAATCCCAGCCAGACATAAGGAGGTCTTTCCTTGGTAAGGTCAATTTGGATCTTCACTCTAGCCATGCTGCCTCTGGTTTTTTGGGAGGATGGTGAATCAAGGTATAATACCTTGCCAATAGAGCTCAAAATAGTTGTTAATAGGACCTTATTGTAACAATGCCATGGGAGTTCAGGAAGTGCCACCCATATAGGGACTATAGGGGTTTCTTCTTGAGGTGTGAAATCAGGGGTCCAAGTTTGGATTCTCATTAATTGCCCTTCAATATTCATTATTTGCTTAGTACCAACCGTAACATAGTCAAACTCATTATCAAGATCAATATACACATGTCTAGAATTAAAATGAGTTATTTTCACCCATCCAGTTAATTGAGTTTGAAGGGTGAAGCTTTTCCGGATCAGTTCCATTTTGGGCATGGTGTTGGTGAATTTGCCAACTAGAGTGTGTTTACAACTTTCAGCCAATTTGATATTATAATCATCCTTGTCCAGAAGTACAGCAGGTAGTCCCTGTCTTGTGGTGTGTACAGGACTATTCAACACAATAGGAGTTTCATTCTTGGATTGATTATATCTTAAGCGAGCAGTAAAGGATTGAACAATAGTGAAAGGAGCAGGTTTAGGGATTACATCCTGTTTAGAATTCTGAGCTCGACTTTGCTGTTGATTGTTCAAAAGTTTCGTACTAACCCGAGCTACATTATTTCTAATCTGGTTATCAACATTCTTACTCCTTTGAGGATTAGGATCATACCTAGCAAAGTTGTTGGAGATCCTAGGAAAATTGTGCTGATATTCCATATTAGCTCTAGTGTTGTCCTGTTGGGTTCGACTAGTCCCTCCCTGTTGATTTGCTTCCTTATGCTGACTCTTTTGCCACTCTTTGTCTTTGTGTCCTGTCTGCACCTCTTTACCTTCAATTTGGCGATTTTGACTTGTTTGTCCATTCTTTTGCCGCTGATCTAGTCCTGCTTTCTCCAATGTCTTGCCCTGATTTGTGTCCTGCATTACGGAAATATTAGCTTTAGGAATTATGTTCATTAAGTTACCTCTAATTCCAAAGGAGAAATTCGATGATTGAGCTTCTGCAGCTGAGCTTTCTGCAGTCTGGTTTCTCTTGGTCTGAACATTGGCCTGTTGTATATTCATTGACATTTCCTGTATTTGATTTGCCTCTTCATGTACTGCAGGTGCCCCTAAAGTATGGATTACACTCAGTTGGTCATTGTTTCTTGCAGCTGGATCAGGGAATGAACCATTCCTAATAGTATCATGATCCTTCCAACTAATTCCTTTGCTCAAATTCATTACAACTTCATTTGGTTGAGTTGTTTGATTATTGTTGGTATTTCCTCCTTCCAAATTGCTTGAAATGTCTGAAAGATGGGTATCCAATGGTGGGAAAATTTCCTTTCCCAGTTTTTTCATAAACTCCGGTGGCCTGGGTTTGAAGTTTGTCGGATTCCTTCCCGCCGGTGATTCCACCGTCCATTTTGCTTGAAATTTCTGTGTGATGAACCTCATCATGTGGTGAGTAATCCCTAGTGGTTGAATCAGCACGAGTTTGACTTGAAGTATCTCGAAATTGAAGGCGCAACTCTGGCGGTTCGTTCGCGTCTTTAGCGCAAATCGCCTCTCGATTCCCGTCGATTGGGACGGTGAATTTAGCTGAATTTTTACTATGATATATATCTAAACTAGGGGAATCCATTTATCTAATCACTTTTTCACGAATCGAAACAGCATCACTTGGGGAAATAATATTACGCGTCCTTTCCAACTCTTTCACCGAAATGGCTGTGATCGCGTTTGTGTTTTGCAAATTCGTGGAGTTGTGGGATGAATTAGAGAGAGTGGCTAGGTGGGTTTCGTCAGTAACATTCAGGCACTCCGATTGCACTTTATCCGGTGGCCTGGGGAGCTCTGCCGGCGGCTCACGCGCCGTTCCGGCAGTGCTGGCAGATTTTGGAGAAGTAGCCATTTTTTTAGCTATTTTGAGCGCTTTTTTAGAGTGAGAAATAGTAGAGGGGATTTTGGGTTTAGGGTTTAGGGTTCAGGATTTAGGGTTTAAGGTTTAGGGTTTAGGGTATAGAGTATATGGTTTAGGTTTAGGTTTAGGATTTAGGTTTAAGGTTTAGGGTTTAGTATTTAAGGTTTAGGGTTTAAGGTTTATGGTTTAGAGTTTAGAGTTTAGCATTCAGGGTTTAGGGTTTAAGGTTTAGGATTTAAGTTTAGGGTTTAGGGTTTAGGGTTTAGGATTTTAGGTTTAGAAGTTAGGGTTTTTGGTCTATGGTTTAGGGTTTAGCATGTAGGGATTTGGGTTTTTTGTTTAGGGTTTAGAGTTTAGGGTTGTAGGATTTAGGGTTTAAGATTTAGGGTTTAGGGTTTAGGTTTATGGTTTATGGTTTAGGGTTTAAAATATAGGGTTTTGGATTTAATGTTTAGGGTTAGAGTTTATGGTTTAGGGTTT